TGAGTTCTCGCTTAGTTCAGTGGCATTCTTGGGACACATAGTGTCCAGTGAAAGAACTAAGGTAGATCCGAAGAAGATAGAGGTAGTTTAGAGTTGGCCCAGGCCATCTTCAGCTACTGAGATTCGAAGTTTTCTCGGCTTGGCCGATTATTATTATCGCTTTGTGGAGGTTTTCTCGTCTATTGCATCGCCTTTGACTAAATTGACCCAGAAATGTGCTCCGTTCAGGTGGCCGGATGAGTGTGAAGAGAGCTTTCAGAAGCTTAAGACAACTTTGACTACAGCCCCAGTATTGGTATTGCCTATAAGTTCACAGTCTTATATTGTGTATTGTGATGCATCGCGTATTGGTCTCGGCGCAGTGCTGATGCAAGACGGTAGGGTGATTGCCTATGCGTCTAGACAGTTAAAGGTACATGAGAAGAATTATCCGGCCCATGACCTTGAGTTAGCAACTATTGTTCATGCCTTGAAGATTTGGCGACATTATTTGTACGGTGTCCATTGTGAGGTTTATACCGATCATCGAAGTCTACAGCATCTGTTTAAACAGAAGAATCTTAATTTGCAGCAGCGGAGGTGGTTGGAGTTGCTTAAGGATTATGATATCACAATTCTCTATCATCTCGGAAAGGCCAATGTGGTGGCCGATGCCTTGAGTCGTAAGGCGGAGAGTTTGGGCAGCTTAGCATACTTACCAGTAGCAGAGAGGCCTTTAGCCTTGGATGTTCAGGCCTTGGCCAACCAGTTTGTCAGATTGGATATTTCCGAGCCGAGCCATGTTTTGGCTTGCGTGGTTTCTCAGTCTTCTCTTTATGATCGTATCAGAGAACGTCAGTATGATGACCCCCATCTGCTTGTCCTTAAGGACATGGTTCAGCACGGTGATGCCAAGGAAGTCACTATTGGGGATGACGGTCTATTACGGATGCAGGGCAGGCTGTGTGTGCCTAATGTAGATGTTTGCATGAGTTGATTCTCCAGGAGGCTCATAGTTTGCGGTACTCCATTCATCCAGGTGCCGCGAAGATGTATCAGGATTTGAGGCAACACTATTGGTGGAGGCGAATGAAGAAAGATATAGTTAGGTTTGTAGCTCGGTATTTAAATTGTCAAACAGGTGAAGTATGAGCATCAGAGACCGGACGGATTGCTTCAGAGACTTGAAATTCCGGAGTGTAAGTGGGAACGTATCACCATGGACTTCTTAGTAGGACTCCCACGGACTTTGACGAAGTTTGATGTTGTTTGGGTGATTATAGATCGGTTGACCAAGTCAACGCATTTCATTCTAGTTGGTACTACTTATTCTTCGGAGCGGTTGGCTGAGATCTATATCCGCGAGATTGTTCGCCTACACAGGGTTCCAGTGTCCATAATTTCAGATTGGGGCACGCAGTTTACATCACAATTTTGGAGAGTAGTGCAGCAAGAATTTGGTACACAGGTTCAGTTGAGTACAACATTTCACCCTCAGACGGACGGACAATCCGAGCACACTATTCAGATATTGGAGGATATGTTACGCGCCTGTGTAATTGATTTTGCAGGTTCTTGGGATCAATTTCTTCCACTCGCGGAGTTTTCTTACAATAATAGCTACCAATCGAGCATTCAGATGGCTCTGTATGAGGCTTTATATGGGAGACGATGTCGGTCTCCAGTGGGCTAGTTTGAGCTGGGTGAGGCTAGGCTATTGGATACTGATTTGGTTCAGGATGCTTTGGAGAAGGTTAAATTGATTCAGGAGTGGCTTCGCACGGCGTAGTCTAGACAGAAGAGTTATGCCGACATGAAGGTTCGTGATGTCGCTTACATGGTTGGGGAGAAGGTTCTGCTCAAGGTTTCACCCACGAAGGGTGTGTTGAGGTTCCAGAAGAAGGGCAAGTTGAGCCCTCGGTATATTGGGCCTTTTGAAGTACTTAAGAAGATTGAAGAAGTGGCTTATGAACTGGCATTGCCGCCTAGTATATCGGGTGTTCATCCAGTATTTCATATATCTATGCTCCAGAAGTATGTCAGAGATCCGTGCCATGTTCTGGATTTTAGTACAGTGCAGTTGGATGGCAATTTGACTTATGATGTGGAGCCGGTGGCCATTTTAGACCATCAAGTTCGAAAGTTGAGATCAAAGAACATAACTTCAGTGAAAGTGCAGTGGAGAGGCCAGCCAGTCAGAGAAGCTACTTGGGAGACTGAGCTGGAGATGTGGAGCATTTACCCACACTTATTTGATACACCAGATATAATTCTAAACTCGTTCGAGGATGAACGTTTGTTTAAGGGAGGAGAATGTAACAACCCGACTGGTCGTTTTGAGTATTACAACCCCGTTCCCCCATTTACTACTCAATTTATGCTTTACAATTGTTATGTGACTCGCCGGGGTGATTGGTTCGGGTCCGATGAGGTTTTGGAATGAATTGAAACACTTAGTTCCAAGGTTTAAAGTTTAAGTTGAAATAGCTGACCGAATGTTGACTATGTGTAAACGACCCCGGAATAGAGTTTTGATGCTTCTAATAGCTCTGTATGGTAATTTTGGACTTAGGAGCGTGTCCGAAAAATTATTTGGAAGTCCGTAGTTAAATTAGACTTAAAATGGCTAAAATAGAAATTTAAGTTTGGAAGTTTGACCGGGGAGTTGACTTTTTGATATCGGGGTCGGAATCCGATTCTGGAAATTGGAATAGTTCTGATATGTCATTTATGACTTGTGTGCAAAATTTGAGGTCAATCGGACTTGATTTGATAGGTTTCGGCATCGAATGTAGAAGTTAAAAATTCTTAGTTTCATTAGGCTTGAATTGGGGTATGATTCATGTTTTTAGTGTTGTTTGATGTGATTTAAGGTTTCGATTAAGTTCGTATAATATTTTAGGACTTGTTGGTATATTTGATTAAGGTCCCGGGGGCCTCGGGTGTGTTTCGGAGGGTTAACGGATCAATTCCTCGACTTGGAATTTTGTTGGATTTTCTAACGTATGTATCTGATTTCCTTATACGCGATCGCATGAACTTCTCCGCGATTGCGTAGGCTTAGCTGGACAGTGGAGGTTTTGTTCTATGCGATTGCGTAGAGTTAATTGAGGGTTGCTGAGTTTTGTTCTATGTGATCGCGTGAAGAGGGATGCAATCGCGTAGCTCTGGGATTTTGTTATTCGCGAATGCGTGGCTAAGGCCGCGTTCGCGTAGAGGAAATGGAGCAGAAGTGGAGGTCACGCATTTCTGATTTGCGATCGCGTGGACGAGTTCGCGATCGCGTAGGTCTGTGAAGTTGTGCATCGCGATCGTGTGAAAATCATCCAATCTTTTCTAATACCAACACAATATGAAAGAATCCTTTAGAATTTCTTAGTAGAAGAGAGATACTTGGGAGAGGGTCGTCTTGGAATTGAGCTGCTTAAAGTTCCAACAAAATAAATAAAAATAAATCTAGAATAAAAGCAACAAGCACCAGTGGTCTAGTGGTAGAATAGTACTCTGCCACGGTACAGACCTGGGTTTGATTCCCGGCTGGTGCATTCCAATGGGTTTGCTATGATGATTTATCTGCGCTCAGTGCGGTGATTTGGGTCTCCGCCCTTGTCCTATCGACGACAACCTGCGCTCTGAGCTTTCCCATTTTTCTTTTGTTTTTCCAAATTATTGTTTGGGATTGTCGCTACACTAGGAACAAGAAAACCCAAGCACATATGCTAGTAAAAAGAAATTAAAGTATCTCTACACCTTGATTGCCAATTAATATTGTCAATTTAATAATCAGTATCAACCAATATGCTCATGGTAAATTTCACAAATTGTCATATACTTTTTTTCATCAAAGTCATATAACTTTGTTTTCTAACACAAAAATCATATAACTTTGTTTTCTCTCGCACAAAAATCATAAAACTTTCACTAACTCACATAAAAATCGTAGTGGTCGGAAAACAAATTTTCCGATACTATTTTCTTATTTTACGTTTTTTCTATTTTTTATTTTCGAACAAGAGTGGGTTGCTCTAGTGGTAAGCACCATCCACTTCCAACCAAAAGATTGTGAGTTCGAGTGAGTTCGAGTCACCCCAAGAGCAAGGTGAGGAGTTCTTGGAGGGAGGGAGGGGTAAGGTCTGCGTACACACTACCCTCCCTAGACTCCACTCATGGGATTATACTGGGTTGTTGTTATTGTTGTCATCTATTTTTTATTTTCAGTCTAATTAATAATTACCCAAAAATATAAGTATATTTTTCGTCCTCCCAAAGATAATAGCCGACAAAATANAACCCAGCCTGACCCAATAACCATATACGCAAGTTAAAATAATACGAAAAGTGAATTCTTCCCCATAAAAAATATAGCTCGGAATGCATGAGATTATGACCAAAATAAATAAAGAAATAAAAGGTATAATTAGAGAGCACTTGAAATAAAAATTCCTACCAATTTGAATAAAAATCTTGAAAAAAAAAAAAGATAATATTAAATATTATGTTTTGAAGGATTTACTATTCATTTTTAGTATTATTTTAATTTATATATATATGAGTATTGGGTCAGTAGGACAAGTCGGGTTGGGTCATCCCTATTTTAATTGGATTATTATTTATTAGACTGAAAATAAAAAATAAAAACCACAGAATAAGAAAATACTACTGAAAAATTATATTTTCCGACTATGATTTTTATGTGAGTTAGTAAAAGTTTTATAATTTTTGTGTGAGAAAACATAGTTATGACTTTGTTGAAAAAAATTATATTAATATGATTTTTGTGTAAGAAAATAAAATTATATGACTTCGATGAAAAAAAAGTCATAGTTATATGACCATTTGTGAAATGTACACATGCTCAAGGAAAGTCTAAATGTGAAACTAAAAAATAGGAACAAGAATACAACCACATTCCATATTATAGACCTTTTCCATACTGAGGGGGCAGAGCTAGTATTCAGTTTACGCGTTCGCCCGAGCCTAGTAACTTTGGTCCAAACTTTGTATTTATCTTTGAAAATTCATTAAATATGTATAAATTATTAATTTAGATCGAGTAACATAAAGGTACAAGAATCCCAAACCCATAGCTTCAAATCCTGGCTCCACTTCTGTCCATATTATACCAACTTTTTTACCTAGTTAGTCGTAAGGATTCCTGAAATTTTTGAGAAGTTCAGGGATGTCATAACCAAGCATGTCATCAACAGCTTGTATTAACTTAGGTTTCAACTTCTCAAACTTGTCAATGCTATAACCACTCAAAACTTCTCTAAAATGTTCAACATTTGGAAAATCCCCGGCTGGTAGATGATGTTCTTTCTGAATCTGTTTGGAAAAAATGAAAACATTAAGACATAATACTCGATATAAAGTTCGTGTCAGGAGCGTTAGCAAAGGGGTACGAGAGACAAACCTTTACGAATTCATCTTCCAAGTTATCGATAAGTCTTTTCTGTGTCTTCGCTTTGCCCATCATAGCAGGCATTTCCTTTTTCAGGTGACTTATTATATAAGCATGTATCTTGGCAGCTCTAGCACGTTTTACGAATTCATTTATCTGTACGCAACAAAACTTGCTCTTCATCCTTGTTTAAAGTAAATCAGAAGCAGACTTTATGACCAAAAAATTTTTTAGGATCACACTCAGAGAATGTTAACTTACACGACGATCACAAGCCTTCTTTGGTATGTTTTTCAGGTCCGAAAGGAGATCATCTTGTTCCTTTTCAAAAAGTTCTTTCCCCACAGGCCCGGTCGGAGCCTCATTTATAGGTCTGTCATTAAATGATCTGTAAAAGCCAAAACATCCAAAGAATTTATGCAAATTGCACAACTCCAAAACAAAAGAATTTTGTTTGCCGTCTAAAAATAAGAAGGGGAGAGCCTTGGAGCAACGGTTAAGTTGTCTCCATGTGACCTATAGGTCACGGGTTCGAGCCGTAGAATCATCCATTGATGCTTGCATCAGGGTAGGCTGCCTACATAACACCCCCTTGGGGTGAGGCCCTTCTCCGGACCCAGCGTGAAAGCGGGATGCTTCGTGCACAATATTTTGTATGACTTTAAAATAATGCTTTCAAATAGACAGAACTATGAAATGAACATGTATATTTAGATATTTAAGAACATTATCTCTGCACTAAAGCAAGAGATAATGTATTTAGTGAATTTCTATTCTCACAATATGATAATGTTCTGCAGCTTAATTACATTTATTTTGCTAAAATAATCCCTTCTAAATTGATTATGAACTAATTGAAAATAGCGAGATCATACCCTATGTAGACACGCGTAACTTCAGGGGTATTCAGAACCTTCCCTAAAGACCACATTAATGCTCCATAAACCCTCATTAGCTGCAATATATAATAGGGAACAGTTAATAAAATAAATTTTAGCATAGTCAAGAAAGAGGTCGTGGACATGAACGAGAGAAAATGTAATATGCCTTACTTGTTGAGTATCAACTTGGTCAGCCTTGTTCAAAACAACTCGTATCTTATCATCATGACCTTGAAGAGATGCAATCACACGTTTGAATTCATCGCTAATATCAAGTTTGTGGGGATCAAACAATAGCAGAATGAGATCACATTTGGCAGCAAACCAAGACGTCACCCCCGTAAAATCATAGCTCCTTTGTGTTCGCTGCTTTTCCCCTGATAAAACTCCCGGAGTATCCACAATAGTGATATTCTCTAACAGCTTTTTAAGAGAAAAATGATATCATTAGTTTCTATAAAATTTGTTTTCATTATGTGGTATGAGTAACAAAGAGTCCATTAACTCACAGGATGCGGCATTTGAGAACACTCAAACTTTGACAAAAATGCCGTTCCAAAAGTTGTCAAACCGCTAAATGGCATATCTGCTTGAACAGCAATTGTATTCCCCGGGACACTTCTTTCGTCAGGTCCGTTCTGTGTAATACACAATTAAAGTGAATGAATGTCTAACAAATGATTTGGCATACCAACACCATTAAACAAATCTACTTTCAAGAATAAATTCTCTTCTCCTACTGAACGTCTCCATTAACCAGAGGCGGATCCAGGGTTTTAAGTTTATGGTTCTCACAACGACTAAGTTAATATGCAATAATATTAATAACTATGTTCGCAGTCCAATATTTTTAGCTATTTAATGAATTTCTTAATGCATATACAGGGTTTGGGTAGAAGCTACTGGATTCACGTGAATCCATAGGTAGCTCAAATAGTTAAATATAGTAGTTTATATATATTGATGAAAAGTAAACTGTTATAGAATCAAAAAAACGTCGGAATCATAAAAAGTCGTCTAAAGTAAGGAGACACTATTTCTGGGACAGCTTTTGACAAAAAAGATTCTACTCCGGTAGAGTATAACTTTTCTTCTACTCAGCGCCATACCAAGAAGGATAATAAGTGAGTGAACACAGTATATCAGTAAAAATCAGATATGTGAAAGTACCATGACGACGACAAATCTATCTGTTGTAGGCTCTGGTCCAATATGAGCACCTACAAACATAAAAGAATCATACATGTAAATGAAGACCCGTCAATGCACAGATAAAAGCACATAAAAGCGGAAAAAAATTCTTATTTGCTAACCTGGATAACTGGTTCTGAGTAAATGCTTAATGAAGGTTGTTTTTCCAGTGGAGTATTGACCCAAAAGCATCACCATTGGTTTGGCATCAAAATCACTATTTGCCTACCAAAATAGCGTAATAAACAAGTTAACAATGTGTATTGCCGTCATCATGATACAGATAACAAAGAAATGAAATTAAGTTTTTTTCTCATTTGTTTCAAATAAGCATAGCTAAACTGAAATGCTAACTAAACCTACCAATAGAGGAGAGACAAAATCACTGAAGTGATATGTAACTTCCAATGGCTTTAGTTTCTTGACGTACAACTTCTTCAGTCCATCAATTATTGATGTGACATAGTTTGAAGAAACCTAAAGGGCAAATGAAAATGATCGAGCATCATCTCAGGAGCAAAAACAGGAATTAGCATTGAACATACCAATGGAAAGCTATAACAGAAGTCTACTTGTAAACTGTGAAACCTATACAGAATACAATAATTTAGAAGTTTGTCAATCATTTTAAGACATTGCATAACAGAAGTCTGTCACGTAATTTGGAGTGAAGATAGTGTGGAAAGGTACACCTTCTAGGAAAGGATATCAAATAGACAACTATAATATGAAAGCATAGCATTTGATGCAAAACAGACGGAGTCATTCAAATAAAGTTAATATTCAGAGTTTACAACAGGCAAGCCTCTGAGAAGTGCATTTGTTAAGCAAGAGAAAGCACAAGATATGAGAGTCTATACACATAGAGGATAAATGAGAGAAGGTGTTTGAGATGGTTTTGGTCACATCCTATGTCAACCTCTAAATGTTCTCGTCCATAGGTGTGAAACCATGGTGATTGAAGGTGTTAAAACAGGACGAATAAACCCAAGATCACGTCGAAGGAAGTTGTCTAAAAAGACTTAGAGATCTCTTGGAATTTATGCAGACTTGGTGCAAATTCAACACAAGTATTCATATTGGCGATACCAATAAGTATGAAGGTTTAGTCATGTTGGTACAGTACACTGACTAAGCCCAAGAAGGCATGACAAGAGAACAAATTCTAGTGTTAGAGAACAAATTCTGTGAGTGTTCTAATCGCCGACTTAATTTCACCCGCACTTCTAGTGTTAGAGAATCTATAGAACTGATATTGGGTCTAAATAGAGCAAGATGTTTAGTGATGATTCAAATCGCCGACTCCACTACCTTGGTATTGAGGCGTAGTAGTAGTTTGTTATATATAAAAGAATAAAGACAATAACCACACTCACCTTCTTTGAAGATTTTGATGATGAAAACCAATTAGCTCGTGAAGGTAGCACAAGACTGCCTGCTTTACAATCCAATTAGTTAGACGCAGAGGCTCTATCCACTTCCCCTTCCCAATTTCCCAAGAACGTAAACAAACAAAATAAAAGAACGATCTTCTTGTATGTAGTATGTACTGAAGTAACATTACCATTCTGGTCAGGTACCCATTTAGCCACACGCTTCTTCTTCTGTAAAACATTTTAAGTTAACAGTTGATCTATGAATGAAATTAAAAAAAAATAAATACGTGAATCTAGCGTACTTACAGCAAGAAGTCTATCCAGACCTTCCAGTGAAGGTAGCTGCAAATTTTCAAAATCAACTGCATAGGATTGAAATTGTTCTAATTATAAGATCTTTATAAGAGAACGAATTCTGCATGCTAAAGAAAATCAATACAAGGCATGACAAAGAATCAACTAAGTTTCTAGAATAGCAGTCAAGTGAATACTAAATTCTCTCTTTCTTTTTTTTGGTTTCCTGCTAGAAATACGGTACCAACATTAGAGCCCGACTAAATCCGGATTCGTGTTGGGAAGTCCTATATTGGGGGTAAAGCACTCCCCTAACAAAGGCTAACCCATACTCAAGACTCGAACCTGAGACCTGTGGTTAAGGACGAAGGAGTACTTACAACCCATCACAACCCTTGTTGGTGACAACTGAAATTACTTGCATACTGTTTTGATATAGCTGAAGTTATCCTACTTACCTTCAGCATTTAAGAAATCACTTGTCACTGCATGGCCAGCTTGAGCCAAAGAGACCAACTACATAGTGAAATGCAAAGAATGATCTGCATTTTAGAGGGAAGAAAATTAACTATAAAAGGTGAAATGAGAGGCCACACAAAGAGTTATGTACCTGCATTGCAGTAATAAACTCTTTAAAACCGAGAAATCCTTGCCGTTTGGAATCTGCAATTGCCCATACCTTAGGAAAAACAGAGAAGTAAAACAATCTGTTGATGTTTAAACAGTAAAAGCAATTCATGAGAACTGCAAAGAATCGTAGGAACACATAAAATATTGCGATTAATTGATTAAACATAGCTACTAAATGCCTTATAAAAAAACATAGCTACTAAATGCATAAAAGGTACAGTATTAAAAAACTCTGTTAAGAGGAGGACAAAAGCCTATTGGGTTGGGACAGCTTATTCAGATGTCTTTCATCTTGATAATTTTGAATAGTTACATAGCTCTTTATTAACCATTGCTCGTTTTCTCTAACCATTCAATTTTATAATCATTCAATCGTGGTTCATAATCACATCGCAACTCAAAGAATCGTTTTCTTAAATAGTGCATAATAGAACTCAATTGAACATTAGTTGTACCAGTCTGAGGACGATATCTTAAACTATAGTATCTTTAACGGCGTACGCTTTTGCTTTTCTATTTTGCGCTCGTCAACTTGTGACCTAAAGCAAATTTTGAACCCTCTTTGCCACTAGAATAAAATCTTCCTTTACATGAAAGGGAATCAACAATTTATATACAAAAACAAAAAAGTCCTTTTGCAGTATAATTTTCCAATGAAGACGATTCCATTGAACCCCTTCCGTCCACTTAAATTAGTTTGTCCATTCTATTAAGTTTCATTTGATTCTTTAGTACAATATTAGATTATGTTGAAGCTGACAGTGAATTTACCCAATAACTTGGTTATACTTTACTCACACGAGGGCGGAGGCAGAAGCTCAGAAATGAGTTAAGCCGAACCTAGTAACTTTTGCTCAAACAGTATCTTTGCGTTAAGAAATCATTAAATATGTATCAGTTATTAGCACATGAAGTTATTGATCTAAAATTCAAAACCCATAAAGTTGAAATCTTTACTCCGCCAACGATTACTATGAGTTGTTTTTGAAAGAATTAAGCCCGAAAAGAAAAAAACCTGCTTGAGATGATCACGAGGCAAGTTTGACATTGCAAGGAAGTTGGTGGCATCCTTTCCAGTGAGACGTCCATCTCCATCTGTAATTAACCCAATTTTTTGTCAATAACCAAATTGCATGCACATCTTTAAATACAAACGATATGTGTGTGTGTGTGTGTGTGTGTGTGTGTGAGAGAGAGAGAGAGAGAGAACAGACCCGAATCAGCAAAACAAAACCATTCTTGATATATCTTCTCGTGCTTTTTGGAGCAGCGATTAATGGGACAAGTATCAAACTCCATTTTCTTCAAAGAAGCCAAAGTTTTGAAGAAACTAGCGCCTTCTTCCTTAGACACCCCCGCTCTATTTTTCCTTTATGTTAAAGGGGAAGATCTATTTAGTGGGCGTTTGGACGCAAGAACCAAAAATGATATTTGAAAATTAAAGTTGTATTTATTTTTGAATTTTGTGAGTGATATGAGTGAAATTTTAAAAATAGTTTTTTGGAGTTTTTTAAATTTTCGAAAAATTCTAAAATTTATTTTCAAGTAAAAATTAAAAATTTTATGCCCAAACGCTGATTTTGAAAAAAAGTGAAAGAATTTTCATGGCCAAACGGGTTTGATGTCCAATATTTGTTGAAGAAGTTTAAATTTTTTGCACTAAAAAAAGATTTATAATATCAAGTTACATATAAGATACTTAATAGAATAAATTTATTGATAAAAATTAATTAATAAGCAGATAGCTATAATAATCTACATGTAAATCTCTTGATGAGTATTAATTCATAACCAAATAAATTAAGTATAATTGGTACATAATTAATATGGTATTACAGTAGATAAAAGTCTTATATTCAAGTTTCCGTATATTTGGCTCATGAAAAAATCAGGCTAGGAAAGTACATAAAAATATTTTGCTAAAATTTTAAACTTTTAGATGAGATAACCATATATATACAACTTAAATAAACAATAAAATAAGATCAATAGAAGGTTGGGGTTTGATAGCTTTTGGACAAGCTTTTTGGAAGAGTTTTTCGAACTATTTTTAACAATTTGCATTTGAATGAATTACAAACTATTTGGAAAAATTACACTGTATAGCCGCTGTAAAAATAATAACCAAAAAAATATATAAAATTTATATATTTTTGTATATATACACATATATATGTTATATACAAAGTTTATACACTTTTTCGGCTATCACATGTAAATAATTTATGGCGCGGGCTATAAGTGATAATACCCTTACTATTTCATAAAGAAAATTTTCTAAACAACAATGCATTTGGCATTTCAAAATGTTAACAAAATTTTCTTTGGTAAACCAACAAAAATACTTTCTGTTTTTAAAAGAAAACATGGCTGATGATCACAAAACAGGAAAAGTACAGAACAAAGCAGCATATAGGGCGAGATGAAATCATGCACGCACCACCACACCAAGTTATGTAATGAGACGAATAAGCTATCTCTCAACTTTTAATCAGAGGTCTCTTATCTCGCAACGTGATCCTACGTAGCGTAATCTGAATTAGTAGGGTCATATCATATGCAACGCAAATCTGAATTAGTCGAGTATTAAGCAACATAAATTTGAATTAGTCGGATATACCATTCAAAGCGTTGCTATATATATATATATATGTTCGTGCTCTCTATATATTTTCTTTGTGCTTTCTCCTCCCCCGTTGTATAATAAGGAGAGGAAAAAGACACAGTTTATAGAAGAGACGAAGCCTTTGATCGAACTTTTTGTCTTTTAGAAAAGAAGAGAAATCTGCATGGTTGAACTTACTGGAATAGAAGAAGGCAGAAGGCGAAAAGAAAGGAGGACAAATGAGATAAATTGAGGCTGACCCTATAAAACAAAAATAAGGAAAAGAATAGAAAAAAAAAATAAAAGGAAATGAAATAAGATAAAATGTGATAAAACTTTGGGATGTATTTGATAAAACAGGAAATGAATAATATTTGTGTTGAAAAATATTATTCGGTCGGTCCACTCATAAAGTATGCTAGATAACTCATTAGCTCATTAATTATTACTCCCTATGTTTCAATTTATTTGAACATATTTCCTTTTTAGTCCGTGCCAAAAAGAATGACTTATTTCCTTATTTGGAAATAATTTACCTTTATGCAATGATTTATAGCCACACAAAATATATGTGGTTCATTCTACACCACAAGTTCAAAAGTCTTCTCTCTTTTCTTAAATTCCGTGCCCAGTCAAATGGGTTCACATAAATTGAAACGGAGGGAGTACTTCACATAAAATCATAACGTTAGCCTATATAAATTATATCATTATGGGTGTTAAAAAATAAGCTTTTAAAGAAGATCTATCTATGCATTTGAGGACCGGTGACTTAAGTCGTACGTATTTATTGCGATTCTTGATGATCAATGATTAAATTTGTGGTTGTTGTAGATCAGCTCCCGCTAAGGAAAAAATCTGTAATTCTCGTACGCTAGTAATATTTATGTTGCAGTTTGCTTTATATATGTCCATTAGACCATTTTAAAAATTCTTGAAGAGTTCAACTTTTATGCCGTATATAGAAATTAATTATTACGCTACCAAGTCACTTAAAAAGTAGTTAAAGGTAATTACTCATAATAAATGGTATTTTTGACAATATAATATGTTACAAAAGCTTAAATTACTCTAATAGTGTAAAAAAGTTAAATCGCTTTTAATATGTAAGTGCTACCAAAATGTGGTGGTTGAATCATTTATTTTAACCATCTAGCATCAGCAGGCAAGTTTTATTGTTGAATATTCAGAAGAAACCTACATATAAGCAGGGTATATAGACTAAATTTAGTATTGGTTTACTTTGGGAAATCTACATTTTCCTTAATAAATCTTTGGGAGGAATATGTATCTGAGTAATTAGTTAGGAGAAAATACTTTCTAAAGAATATAAACCAATTCGGATCTTAGAGCTTTGCTCAAATTTGTCGCAGCTAAAGGGTAGCTGCAACAGTTCGTCACAACTTGCAACCAATGACGTAGGAAAGATTTTATGCAAGCAGCGTCCGTCTATTGTCACAATTCTTTTGTACTGGTTTAATTTATCTCGTCGGAAAATGACGTTATATAGCCGTTTTCAAAATAATAACTGAAAAAATATATTTTTTTTGTATATATATACATTATATATGTTATATACAAAAATTATACAAATTTTATATACTTTTATGGCTACCAAATGTAAATAGTTTCTGGCGCGGGCTAAAAGTGATAATACCCCTAATTTCTTTTGTATCCCTTACGGATATGGTTACCAAAAGGATTCTTTTTTGTGTTGTCATTATTTATCCTAATGAAATCAGTCATGGGCTAGAAGTAATTTTAAATCATGTTAATTCACACAAAAGCCAGAAGTAACATGACATATATAACATATTTACTCAAATAGCTGCAGTGAAGGTGGCATCAGAACTACAATCCATCCTGATAAGTTATTTAGCAAGCAAAAAAACAATAAGGAAAAAAAAAAAAACAGTCTGGTGCACTAAACTCCCGCTACGCGAAAAGAAAAAATATGATATCAGAAATAATACAAAAGTTGAATCAACAAATAGCTCTATGCACACTCGCTCGCCTTCTAAGAAGGGCAAGGACTTATGAACACAACAACACAACGAAATGATGAAATGAAGAAGAATGAACAGGAGGCACCGGAGGAAAAAGATTGATCTCATATATATCCGCATCGTTTGATATTTTTGCAGTCTAACCATTGCTCGAGTCAAAAAGTCCGTTTCTGATAGCCGATGATTCAAGAAATGCCAATAGTTTTGCCAAGCAACCAAAGAACCAGTGATAGTTCTAATCCAAATATGGTGTGAATAGAACTTCTATCCAACATGAATCCATAAATTGTTACCCCTGCTCTGTTGTTCTCAAAATATTTCACTGCAATAAGTGTGACAAAATGAACTACAATTAGATAATACTAGCCAAGCAGTGTAGGATTAAACGTATACAACAACAACAATAAACCTAATCCCACGGGTGGGTTTGGGAGGGTAATATGTATCCAAATCTTACCCTACCTTGACAATATCAATGTAATATATAGGAGCAAATGCCACAACATGTAATAATAAAGAACCAGGAATAAGAAAATACAAAAATAGTACTAGTACTACTGGTAAGACTAAGAGACGCTATCGAGAGTCATGTTCTTGGTAAGCTGGAGTACGATTAAACATATATAATTGTAAATTTATTTACATTATCTGTTACAGTAGGCATAGGCGGACCCAAAATTTGAAGGTGGTGGGGGCACATGAGCGGACTGCTCAATCAGTGCCCTTGTCTAACTTTTTATCTTAAGAGTTCCAAGTAAAATATATGATCATTTTCAACATATACATATATATTCAGAGTTTTTGCCGAAGTTAACGGTGTTGGATTTTGCATCTGTTACTGCTACTGTTCAACCTTCTTGCTGCTTGCATATTTTTTCTAAAATCCATAACAGTGGTATCAGAGCCTCCATTGATCTTGACGGATATCTGATTTCGCTGAAAAATAACTAATTTCAACCACTTTTAAACCATACACGTTTTTATTCATACCGATTTTTAACCAAATTTTTAACAATGGCAAGCAGCGGTCTCTCTTTGAATACCCCACAAACTTTCACTAGTGAAAACTATCAGATTTGATCAGTAAAGATGAAATCTTATCTTAAAGTTTATGATCTATGGGAAGTTGTAATAGAAGACAAACTTATACAACCACTTCCTGCAAATCCTACCCTTGCCCAAATCAAAGCTCATTCAGATGAGAAAACCAAAAAATACAAAGCCAAAACTATAATTCAAAATTCAGTTGCAGATTCAATCTTTTCTAAAATCATTGCACGTGAGACAGCAAAAGAAGCTTGGGAAACACTCAAACAAGAGTATCAAGGAAGTGAACGAGGCAGACACAATCAGATTTTAAATTTGAAAAGAGATTTTAAATCTATTAGAATGTAAGATAACGAGACCATCGCTAAGTATTCTGACCGAATTTCTTTAATTGTCAATAAAATCAGGTTACTTGGCGAGGATTTCAAAGATGACAGGATAGTTGAAAAAATTATTGTGACAATTCCCGAGAGATTTGAATCCAAAATTTCCTCTCTAGAAGAGTCTAAAGATCTTTCTACCATCTCTGTTGCAGAATTAATAAGTGCTCTTCAAGCACAAGAGCAAAGAAGGGCCTTCAGACAAGACAAAATTACTGAGGGTATTTTTTATGCGAAATACCAAAAAGAAAAAGTCGATTATCATTATTGCAAATATTGCAAAAAGAAAACACACTTAGAAAAGTTTTGTTGGTGGAGACCTGATGCATTATGTGGAAATTGCAAACAAAAAAGGTCATGTTACAAAAGTATACAAGTTCAAAGATGCTAATGTACAAGCACTAATAGCAGAAGAAGGAATTGAGGATGACCTTCTTTAGACTACAGCAACAGAAGCAAGGAGGAGTATTGGATTTTGCATCTGTTACTGCTACTGTTTTCTAGAATAATTAGTTGTTTAGTTTTAGGAAGAGTCTGCTAGAAGATTCAGAATTTTAATTATAGTAAGAGTTTACTAATTCAGTTGTAGGAGGAGTTTACTACTTTATTTATTTGGCTATTTAAAGCCCTATGATTAGTAAAATTTTAGAGACATTTTTTCAATTCTATTTTCAACTTTCTTGCTGCTTGCATATTTTTTTTCTAAAATCCATAATAAACGGGGTCACTCCAAACATAGGTTCGATCTGACAGTAGGTATTTATTATATTTCCCAAGTTACTATATTATACATTGTCAGTGCACAAAAGTTAAACGATAATGATATTAACCAGCATACCTAGTGCCTGTCTTTTCTGGAATGAAATTGTGCTATAGGCATAAGCAGGGACAAATATCGTATTGTCCAACTCATCTTCTTCATCTCCAACATCATCAGAATCAGATCCTTTGGAACATTCAGGAAAACCTTGGCCACAGGTTGCCCGAGTAATTGGAGTCTCACCTTCAATCGAATCGAATGAGTCTATTGTTGCACATACATGCCACTTGGCTGCAAGGCATGTTACAGATTGAGCCTTGTGAGTGATTTTGGTCGCGCTTCGCAACAGTATCATGAGACCAGCAAGAAGACTGACAGAGCAAAGCTGCATATTAAGACGACGACGACATTTAGTTACAAGTAACAGCAACTAACAGATGATTAAAGATGAAGATCTGATGGAAGAGCTAGGGGAAATGAGTTAAAGTGCTAACTAGGGGCAGTGTCTCGGTCATCTAAGATAAAATTCATAATATATCAGCCCTTGATTTCGTTTCATATGACAGTATTTGACTGAGTACAGATTTTAAGAAAAGAAAAAAAAAGGCTTTAGCCACATAGTAGAAGTACCATTAGACCGCTAAAAGAGCATGTCATCAGGGGTAGACGTGAAGTGAAATAAAAACGAAGAATTAACCTAAATAGCCATCCACCTAACTTGCTGGAAGAGCTAATGAAAAGGAGTTAAACTCCTAAACTAGATGGTAGTTCCTCGGTCATCTAGGATAAAATTTATAATAGATCCACCCTTGCTTTGTTTCGTACGACAGTATTTGACTGAGCATGAATTTTGAAGAATAAAAAAAAGGTTTTATCCACATACCAGAAGTACCATTAGACCGCTAAAAGAGCATGTCATTAGGGTAAACATGAAGTTTAAAAAAATCGAAGAA